ACCTTGATTTTTTTTTTCTATTTTTACTTAACCTTTAATGCTTTTGAAGTTGTAGAGCCTGCTATTTGCAGCTACCACTTTATTTTTTTTTTTTTTATTTTTTTTTTTTTTTTTAGCCTTCTTCCAATAATGGTATGGTGGGAGAAGAGCCAAGAAAACAGAAACAGTGTGATACTATCTTGTCAACTTAACTCCAGTTCTATGATTATCAGAAGAGGAGTGTAACGTCCACCAATCTTCGGCAGACAGGAGCATGTTTGTCCTGGTTCTGCCTCATGATTAAAAGACCATAGCCCTAATGCTAGCCCTAAAACTAATTAAAAAAAAATCAAAAAAAATCATGTAATAGAAATATATGTGACAGTGAAGCAAGTAATAGGGGAAACAATGTCATCTATTTCTATCATTATACCACATCTAGTGTGTCTGCTGTTTTTGCCACCAGTAGAGGTCACCTGGGTTCCACCCGTATGGTGTGCCCTGATACAATAAATATGTGGTTTAACCCCTTAAGGACACATGACGAAAATATTCCGTCATGATTCCCTTTTATTCCAGAAGTTGTGTCCTTAAGGGGTTAACAGTGTCACAGGGACATGCAACTTTTCTGTAAAATACATTTAATGCTCTCTCTTTATAAGAGACAGATGAGAACGGTACATCCATCAGCTAGGGCACTTACAGATTTAGTCTAGTGAATATTTCATTTTCAGTGCTCATATCATGCAGTGAATTTAGTATATACTTACATGTGATGGGGGAACTAATAGAAAACAGTAGTATATATGCCTATTAGATGGGTTTGGGGTAATTCAATAGTGATTCAATACCAGCTTTCATTTAATCGGTATTGTTAAAAATAGTATTACATGTGTTTTAAACTATTATTGATATATATTTTTAGAGGACAATTTTACATTTTATTTGTTTAAAATCGGTACACTTTCTGTTCAAACCATGATTAACTGCTTGATTTTTAAATGCCAGGGACATTGACTTATGTCCCCATGATGGGGGTGTATAGTATAACTTTTTGCTTTCACTAACAGGCGTTCTCATTGCATTAACATGCTGCACCCTGTTTAAGTTTTGGTTGCCTGATATAAAATCATAAAAGGAGCTATAATCAAATTTATCTCGTCTTAACTTTAAAGGGACACAAAAGACACCCCTGTTGTTTTAGTCTTGCTGTCTAAAACATTGGTATTCAGTAGATCTAGGTCTAGACACGCATCTAGACATCCTGGTCTCCTTACTCCATGGGTCTTTGGTTAAGATCATCAAGTTTGAAAATCTCAACCAATCCAATATTTCCCCATGGGAAAAAACGTAAACTATGACATATAAACGTCAAAACGCGGCTCTGCGCAAATCTGATAGTCTCTATGAGCTATTTCTGGGGTAACATGACTAGAGGCTGTCTGTGTTAGTCACTAGAGGCTTTCACAATGCTTTCACTTGCAGGGTTATAAAGGGGGAAGGGAAGGACGGTTACGTTATAGCACACATACCATTTCAATGAGATTAGGTGGTCTGGGTGATTATAGTGTCCCTTTAAGTGAATGAGCCCACTGGGGATTTACGGTGAATTTAGGCACCTGAGAAACAAGTGTTTTTTAAATTAATATTTATATATTTATTTCATTTTATATTTATTTAGTTTTTAGGTAGTTTTATTAGATTATCAATATAATGCATTAAAAATACATGTCACGTTCTGGATTACCCATTTTAATGAACCTCTAACCTCCCTAAACAGTTAATAAACTTTTCTTGTCATAAATATAGTTAGTGTGTGTGTTTTTGTGTGTTTGTAACATTCTGTAGGTGTTTCATTTATTGTTAGATTTTCCCCTTTATAATACTGTAAACACTGCTGAATAAGTTGGCGCTATATATATTTCAATAATGCTATTTACATTTTGAAAGAAGTTGCTCAGACGACTTTGTCACAGACTATCTCTGTTTTCACACAAGACAACATGCATTTAGGGAGATTTATCAATGGATTATCTTCTAACTAGTGATCTAAAATACTAAAACCGGGCAGTCACCATGAAAACCAGTGGAACCAGCAGACTCATTCCATTAGTGACTCCTCCTCTTTTTTCCCCCCCCACTACATTTAAAACAAGTAGTTTGATAAATCTCTCCCATTGTATCAAATAAGGAAAGACCATCCATTCCTCTCTCCCTCACTCCTTCCATCTATCCATCTCTCTCTCCATATATCCATCCCTCCCTTCATCCCTCCCTCCATCCTGCTATCCAACCATCCCTTCCTCCATCCATCCCTCACTCTCTCTCTACCTCCCTCCCTCCTTCCATGCATGTATCCCTCTTTCCTTCCATTCATTCCTCTCTCTCCATCCATCCATTCCTTTAGCCATGTACACCTCATGTATAATGTAATGCTGGACCATGTACACCCTATATATAATGTAATGCTGGACCCTGTGCACCCTATGTTTAATGTAATGCTGCACCCTGTACAGTACACCCTATGTATAATGTAATGCTGGAGGACCCTGTACACCCAATGTATAATGTAATGCTGGACCCTGTGCGCCCTATGTATAATGTAATGCTGGACCCTGTGCACCCTATGTATAATGTCATGCTGGACCCTGTGCACCCTATGTTTAATGTAATGCTGCACCCTGTACAGTACACCCTATGTATAATGTAATGCTGGACCCTGTGCGCCCTATCTATAATGTAATGCTGGTCCCTGTGCGCCCTATGTATAATGTAATGCTGGACCTTGTGCACCCTATGTATAATGTAATGCTGGACCCTGTGCACCCTATGTATAATGTAATGCTGGACCCTGTGCACCCTATGTATAATGTAATGCTGGACCCTGTGCACCCTGTGTATAATGTAATGCTGGACCCTGTGCACCCTGTGCATAATGTAATGCTGGACCCTGTGCACCCTGTGTATAATGTAATGCTGGACCCTGTGCGCCCTGTGTATAATGTAATGCTGGACCCTGTGCGCCCTATGTATAATGTAATGCTGGACCCTGTGCGCCCTATGTATAATGTAATGCTGGACCCTGTGCGCCCTATGTATAATGTAATGCTGGACCCTGTGCGCCCTATCTATAATGTAATGCTGGTCCCTGTGCGCCCTATGTATAATGTAATGCTGGACCCTGTGCACCCTATGTATAATGTAATGCTGGACCCTGTGCACCCTATGTATAATGTAATGCTGGACCCTGTGCACCCTATGTATAATGTCATGCTGGACCCTGTGCACCCTATGTATAATGTAATGCTGGACCCTGTGCACCCTATGTATAATGTCATGCTGGACCCTGTTCACCCTATGTATAATGTCATGCTGGACCCTGTGCACCCTATGTATAATGTAATGCTGGACCCTGTGCACCCTGTGTATAATGTAATGCTGGACCCTGTGCACCCTATGTATAATGTAATGCTGGACCCTGTGCGCCCTATGTATAATGTAATGCTGGACCCTGTGCACCCTATGTATAATGTCATGCTGGACCCTGTGCACCCTATGTATAATGTAATGTTGGACCCTGTGCACCCTATGTATAATGTAATGCTGGACCCTGTGCACCCTATGTATAATGTAATGCTGGACCCTGTACACCCTATGTATAATGTAATGCTGGATCCTGTACACCCTATGTATAATGTCATGCTGGACCCTGTGCACCCTATGTATAATGTAATGCTGGATCCTGTGCACTCTATGTATAATGTCATGCTGGACCCTGTGCACCCTATGTATAATGTAATGTTGGACCCTGTGCACCCTATCTATAATGTAATGCTGGACCCTGTGCACCCTATGTATAATGTAATGCTGGATCCTGTACACCCTATGTATAATGTCATGCTGGACCCTGTGCACCCTATGTATAATGTGATGCTGGACCCTGTGCACCCTATGTATAATGTGATGCTGGACCCTGTGCACCCTATGTATAATGTAATGCTGGACCCTGTACACCCTATGTATAATGTAATGTTGGACCCTGTGCACCCTATGTATAATGTCATGCTGGACCCTGTACACCCTATGTATAATGTAATGCTGGACCCTGTGCACCCTATGTATAATGTAATGCTGGACCCTGTGCACCCTATGTATAATGTCATGCTGGACCCTGTGCACCCTATGTATAATGTAATGTTGGACCCTGTGCACCCTATCTATAATGTAATGCTGGACCCTGTGCACCCTATGTATAATGTAATGCTGGATCCTGTACACCCTATGTATAATGTCATGCTGGACCCTGTGCACCCTATGTATAATGTGATGCTGGACCTTGTGCACCCTATGTATAATGTAATGCTGGACCCTGTACACCCTATGTATAATGTAATGTTGGACCCTGTGCACCCTATGTATAATGTCATGCTGGACCCTGTGCACCCTATGTATAATGTCATGCTGGACCCTGTGCACCCTATGTATAATGTAATGCTGGACCCTGTGCACCCTATGTATAATGTAATGCTGGACCCTGTGCACCCTATGTATAATGTAATGCTGGACCCTGTGCACCCTATGTATAATGTCATGCTGGACCCTGTGCACCCTATGTATAATGTAATGCTGGACCCTGTGCACCCTATGTATAATGTAATGCTGGACCCTGTGCACCCTATGTATAATGTAATGTTGGACCCTGTGCACCCTATGTATAATGTCATGCTGGACCCTGTACACCCTATGTATAATGTAATGCTGGACCCTGTGCACCCTATGTATAATGTAATGCTGGACCCTGTGCACCCTATGTATAATGTAATGCTGGACCCTGGATACATGGTACCTGACCTGACATCCTGCGATGGAAACTTTACTTTAAACTTTCCACTTACACTTTTACAAATGGGCGTGGTCTACCAACTTTCTCGCTCTCCGGTAGGCTGCCGCCTGTGGCCCCGCCCCGCGCCCTGCATGCTTTAATGCCGCTGGCAGAGCTCGCTGCCCGGCTCCAGCGCTGTCAGTGGGCTTGGCTGTGTCCGGGTGTCCCTGTCACTCAGCGCTCCGGAGATGATCCCCAGCGGGTACCTGCGAGGGGCCCCGGAGAGTGCCGACCGCATGCCCAGGTCCGCTCTGTGTGCGCTCATCTTCCTGGCGGTGGCTCAGGTGGGCTGCACTCTGGGACTGTTCCTCTACTTCAAGGCACAGGTGAGGGGCCCGGGGGCCACATTGTGTGACATTCACTGTATAGAAACTCTGTATTACCTTAATAATGACAGCTACATAGATTATCTGTGTGCCACTATATTACAATGGATAACAGCGACAGCTGTGCAATAGACACATTTCAGGAAATTCAATGTTATTATTAGTATATTTTCTGTCAAATAAATATATATCTATATACACACACAAACATATATATAGCTGTTGACAAATACAATACACAATAAACAATGGCAAATAAGGCGTATCATAATATGACGGATGTTAAAGGGAGAGTAAAGAACTCTACGTTATTGCTTACTATACACCATTGTTAGAATGGACGAGAATATCTTCAGTGCTGATCTCTGGGATATAAAGAATGTACTATCATTGTATTGTACAGTACAGCGGTAGAATAAAGTGAAAGTATAATGCTCTAACGCTGGAAGCGGTTTTAAAAAGTTTGTCAAAACGAATTACCAGAAGTATACCCTCCAGCCACTGTCTGTCAAGCTGTGAAGGGGAATATGGCATTACAACATGCACTGGTACTAATCAGGTATTACTGGAGATGTTTTTTTTTTTTTTTTTATCATACAGGAATCATGAAAGTCTGAAACTTTACTTTCTTGGTGTCCCCTAACAAAGGAGAAATGTATCAGACTTTATATATTCATAGAATTAGCTTTATTCAGTGCAAAGCAACATGAGATGTGACCACTAAATCTGCAGTAATATAAGGGCCAAAGCTGACAGGTTTGGAAACAAATGAATCTTTGCTTTGCTGGTGATGCACGCCCCCCCTACTACTACTAGTGTATTCTAAATTAGGAAATCCGCTAGTCAAATTAGTCATTGATTAGCAAATACATCTCTCATGCATGTATTTTGTTTTGGCCATTATAATATGCAATACTTATTTGCATTCTTCTTGAATGAATTTTCGTTTTCAGTCTTTTGTAAAAAAAAAAAGAAAACCAAAAGACTTTGAAATAACTTTTATACCAACCGAAGGCCAATCTTATTACTTTTTTAATTCTGTATCTGTAATTATTTACATTATATAATGTGTATAAGATAAATCATTAAAGGACCACTATAGTGCCAGGAAAACATACTCGTTTTCCTGGTACTATAGTGCCCTGAGGGTGCCCCCACCCTCAGGGTCCCCCTCCCGCCCGGCTCTGGAAGGGGAAAAGGGGTAAAACTTACCTTTTTCCAGCGCTGGGCGGAGAGCTCTCCTCCTCCGATCCTCCTCTTCTCCTCCCCGTCGGCTGAATGCGCACGCGCGGCAAGAGCTGCGCGCGCATTCAGCCGGTCACATAGGAAAGCATTCATAATGCTTTCCTATGGACGCTGGCGTGCTCTCACTGTGAAAATCACAGTGAGAAGCACGCAAGAGCCTCTAGCGGCTGTCAATGAGACAGCAGCTAGAGGAATAGGGGAAGGCTTAACCCATTCTTAAACATAGCAGTTTCTATGAAACTGCTATGTTTATGAAAAAATGGGTTAACCCTAGCTGGACCTGGCACCCAGACCACTTCATTAAGCTGAAGTGGTCTGGGTGCCTCGAGTGGTCCTTTAAACTAGAATTTGTAATGATTTCACCAGGGAATTACAATTTATTTTACCAAACAACTGAGATAGAAAAGTGATTGGATTCCATGTTTTGCAGTTTATCTATATTGGACCTTCAGTTTGCAATTCCAAGTAATTACCAGTGTAGCAAATAACCATGCTTGTAGAAGGTGTAATATGTTGATGTGATGCTTTTAAAAGTCTCTCAGTGTAATGTTATTTAGACAAACCTTAGACTTGTGGGCAACTAAGTGGTTGATAGAACGTGTTATTTTTCACTGTTTTGTCTTTACCAACATCTTAAGTACTTGGGAAATCCATCTCAGACATTTATTATTATTATTATTATTATTATCGCCATTTATATAGATTCAACAGATTCCGTAGCGCTTAACAATATAATGAGAGGGGGGATTTAACTATAAATAGGACAATTGCAAGAAAACTTACAGGAACGATAGGTTGAAGATGACCCTGCTCAAACCAGCTTACAGTCTATGAACGCAATGTTTCTTGAGAACGAAATACAATTAACTAATAATTGAAAATTCTTTCTTTTTTTTAACGTCAGCATTTTTTAACCCCAGCAGTTTGTCTTCATTTTTCTCTCTGCACATTTCTCTGTTAAGTTGGAATTCTTACACACATAATGTTAGAGCTTCAGTAAAAATGAAAACCTACTTCCTCCCATACTAAGAACTTATCATTCTTGTCACTTAACTTCCTGGTGTGGTATTGAGGTATCAATACATTGTGAGTGTATTTGCTCTGTCAAAGTTTGACACGACTTAACCATGCTTTGCAGTTTGAAACAACAAAGTTAGTCTTCTAACCACAAAACAATTGGAAGATTGGTGTATTTCTCTTTTGTAAGGGTTCTTTTTTTAATTGCAACTGTTTTACTGCGTAAGCTCTGACCTCAAGAAAGTCAGTCACAGGAAGTTTGGAGGAAAGAAATTAAACCAAAATAAAATATATAAATCAAGAAAGTGTCTTCTTAGAAGAAGTAATTTAGAAGCTGTTTGAATCCTTGCAAATCTGTAATATGTTTCATGTTTTTACCAAGTGAAAATATTTGTAAAAATCTAGCTTATGTTCTATTTTTTTTATTTTATAAATGTGTCCCTGCTTTAAAGTTGTTGTTTTTTTTTATCTTTACACTATCTGTGGTATCTGTTCCTGGTTGCAATATCAAAATGTAAATTTGCTCCCTATGCTGTGTAACAATTATTTATATAGCAGCAACATATTCTGCAAAGCTGTACAATAGGTAAACAAGACAGACATTTAATAAAAAAAAAAAACAGGTTTGACATATGGAAATTGTTGTTGAAGAGAGCCTTGCCCAAAGGAGCTTACAATCTAAAAGCATGAGAGAGAGGCTAACAGGGAAACAACCAGAGTCCCCTCGTGCTCATGGCACTTTATATTGAACAATTGCAATGAGGCTATATAACGTTAATGAAAAAGAAATTAAATCCACGATGCCCCCTGTCTAAAGACGACCCTTAGCTGTTAACTAATTATGATTGATATTATGCCCTATTACCCAGGCTGTATTTTGGTCACTGTTTATTAGCCACAAATAAATGTATTGCTAATGGGATAATTCTGTGTAAAATATAAGATTTTCACATATCGGAGAGGCCAGATGTAAGCATTTCAAATGAATTTGGAGAGACCCATTTTGATGCTGTTTTGAGTTAATTTGGGGTTAGTCTTGCTTAGAGCAGAGATTCCATTCAGGAGCTCCTCATCCTGTTCACATTTGCCATGGGGGGATTTATGTTTAGGTGAAAATAGAGAATTTGTGCAATTTGCTCCAATCACAAACATGTTAATTCTGAATATGTATTGTTTCTAGAGCATAATACAAAGTAAGGGGCCAATTACTCTCAGGGTAATATTGTATGTGATGACTGTAGAAGATAAACCAGGTTCCCAGCTTTCATGTTTGTATCTCTTGGCTTCCTTACTGTAAAGGAAGTGGTAAATGGAGATTAGCATTTTATAAGCAGAAAAGAAAATCCTCTTTATTTTCCAAATTTTAATATAGCAAACAAAGATCCCTGTCTCTTATTGTTGCTAATATGTTCAAAGTTCGCATAGATATATTTTTAAAATATTTTGTGGTTGTAGAGGAGAGACTCCTACTCACGGTAAATAAAACATTAAGCTGAGTGAGTAATAGTGGAGTTTGTGTGGGCACTGCTTGAAGATTCAGACCGGTTAGACAATGAGGGGAAAATCCGTCCTGCCTTCTACACACAGTCTAAAACCTCTGATCTAGGTAGGTGAAATCATTACGTGAAGCACTGCATCCTGTTTAATTCTGAGGAGTTACAGGACTGTAGGAACCAACATGACTTAAATGGACTCTATCACCTTAAACTTACCTTTCTCCTATTGTTTCCTCTTCTCTTCCTCTTTCAGAATCTGTTCTTTATTTCTGATCTATTTCTCTATAAAACACAAGATAAAGTAGGGACCTCTTTGTTGTGTGTATTTTCTTCCTAAATAAATGTGACAAAGGGTGGCGTTTACGGCAAGCAACACTTTCTTTGTCAAGTTTTTCAGGTGTAGGAGACAAAGCCTCAACTTTGTCTTATGTTTTAAAAAGAAAGCATTCAGAAATTAAGAAAAGAACAAATTCTAACAGAGGAAGAAAAAGGGGAAACAATTGAAGAAAAGTAAGTTTGTGGTGAAAGAGTCACTTTAAGTGCATTTAAAAGATTTTGACCTCCCTCTCATGCCGTGCTTTTCATCATGTTCAAATATCATTAGTTTTGCTAAAAAAAAAAAAAAAAACTGTTGCAATTTTCTGCGTTTTAACACTGTTTCCTTAGCCTTGATCCTTCTATTTGCAAAGCAACTTCCTTTTTAGACGTATATTCAGAAGCCAATGTGTGAGTTTCTACAATCGCTAGACACACAGACATTCCCATAGGGATATGTGTACAGTGAAAATGGCATAATCCCACCCCAAAAGTGAATAGTGGTGAAATAATAGAATACAAAAGACACCCTGAGACTCTATCTGTCTCTCACATGGGCAATATGTATTTTAGGGATAAAGCTATAAAAAACAAAAAACAACTTTATTTTTATTTTTAGCAAAACGAATGAGATTTGAGCAGGGAAAAAAAACAGAGCATAAGTATTAGGAAAAATCAAATGCGTCTATGGAAGGACACTTCAAGCACTATAACAAGGGTAGGCAACTTTCAGCGTTTCAGATTTCTGGACTACATCTCCCATAATGCTCTAACAGCCATAATGCTGACAAAGCATCAGGGAAAATGTAGTCCACAGCACCTGGAGTGCCAAAGGTTGCTTACCCCTGCACTATAACCAGCTCTCTGTAGTGGTTATGATTTGGTTCCAGAAGTGCCCCAATGCCCTCCCCAATTGTAAGTAGTCAAACTGTGTTGTTTTTTTTGTGTGTATTTTTTTTTACTGTTTTTTTTATTTTTATTTTTTGAGATGCCAATACTAACTTCAGAAAGCCAGAGGCTCCTAAGAAGGAGCTTTAATTTGCTTTCCTGAGCTACGACCTGTGTTTCAGGGTGTATATTATTGGTTGAACGTGATCATGTCCTAAGCAGGAGCATCCATGATCTCTCCTGAGCTTTCATAGACTCTCCTGAGCTTTCATAGACTCTCCTGAGCTTTCATAGACTCTCCTGAGCTTTCATTGACTCTCTTGAGCTTTCATTAGCTCTACTGAGCTTTAATTAGCTCTACTAAGCTTCCATTAGCTTCCCTGAGCTAAGCCTTGCAATGCAGGACTAGTAAATTCCCTGAAAGCATCAGCTGATAAGTTTGCTCAGACAGAGAACTCCTGGATCTCCATCGAGAAGTAGCGGCATGTGGCAGATCCCAGGTAAGAAATAAAACCAATCTAAAAAGGTTTGACACTTACAATGGTTGGGCACTAGGACACTCCTAGAACCAGAACCACTGCAGTTTGATGTAGTAGTTATGATGCTTGGAGTGTTCCATTAATTGTATTTGTAGCTCATTCATATTATAATTTTTTTGAAGGTTTTTACATTAGTTACATTATTTTATATTTTTGCTGTAATGGTCATATGGTAGTGAAATAAAATTGGCTATTGAACATAGTTTAATTTTTCATGAATGCACATCCACTCTGATGTGAGTACTACCTACTAAAAAAGAGCAGTCAGAGTATTTAATGCAACTCAACATACATTTCCTATGCTTCCGTTCTCATTTTGGGCATAATGCCAAGGTGAGTTGCTAATGAAGTCAATGTAGATTCGTCAGTTCCAGTTGTATACTTTAACAGCAAAAAGTGTGAAAAGTGCATTTTACACACAGGTTATACATAAAAAAAAAAAAAAAAGAACAAAAAAGCCCACACATATTTAGAGAAGTGGAAATGTATATGTAAAACGTGTGGGGTGTGCCCATTTTTGCTTTCATAACTCCGGGAAGGCTGCGTATTAGAATTGTCACATTTAAATAACTTCAAAACTCTTAAAAGTTTTGCTTCTTTTTTTTTTTTTTGCTCCTGCTTTTGACATCTTTGAAATGTATGAATAGTTCATGGGTTAATGCTCCTGATACAGTATGTGTTGGAATAGTTCATGGGTTAATGCTCCTGATACAGTATGTGTTGTAATAGTTCATGGGTTAATGCTCCTGATACAGTATGTGTTGGAATAGTTCATGGGTTAATGCTCCTGATACAATATGTGTTGGAATAGTTCATGGGTTAATGCTCCTGATACAGTATGTGTTGGAATAGTTCATGGGTTAATGCTCCTGATACAGTATGTGTTGGAATAGTTCATGGGTTAATGCTCCTGATACAGTATGTATTGGAATAGTTCATGGGTTAATGCTCCTGATACAGTATGTGTTGGAATAGTTCATGGGTTAATGCTTCTGATACAGTATGTGTTGGAATAGTTCATGGGTTAATGCTCCTGATACAGTATGTGTTGGAATAGTTCATGGGTTAATGCTCCTGATACAGTATGTGTTGGAATAGTTCATGGGTTAATGCTCCTGATACAGTAGGAGCATGGTATGTTTTGTACCAGCTTATAATAATTATTAAAGGCGCCAGGAGTGCCCAGAGCCGCTGACTGTTTTGAACGGTCTGACTCCTTATCTGCAGTCCGCTGGGTCCCATTCTCCACCTCCACTACTAACTACGGAGAGCCGTAAGCTCCTAAGCAGTTTTGACAATTTACCTTGCATCCTCTGGTTGCTGGTCTCAGTTTCTAGTGGAACCGGAAGCTCCCTACACGGAACTTTTGTCAACCACTCTGAGCGAAACCCTAGATTGCAGGGCTGGTTCATCGGCTGTTTGCATCAGCTGAGAGACTTGGTCCCCAGGACATACTTGCGAACAAGAGAAATCTCAATGTATTCTTCCTGGTAAAACACTTTCTAAATATATAAAGGAAGTAAAAATCTTTTATGTGTAAGTATGGGAGTTTGTGAGTGACTTTTGGGGTTTGTGGTGGTTACTTTGTGCCCTGCGATGAAAGTGACAAATGCAGCAGAAGTCTTGAAGAATAGGCGAAGAGCAGACTACTCATCCTACATATGCGTGTCACCGGGGACCTGCACACCACGGACACACTTCTCATTGGTGGCATCAGTACAGAGCAGGAACGTGTATTCTCTTTCCCTTACAAAGCTGCAGCACCAGGAATGCACCCCACTTCATATTGATCAGCTTGGGGGGAGGAAGTTTTAGTTCATTGCAATAATTTATTAGGCTTGTAACAATTTAAATGTCAAAATTTGTTCAAATTTTATGCTGTTCCTTTTCATTAAGATATAGCCTTAAATATGGCTATATCTTAAAAAGGTCTAGTTACCAGTGGGGTACTTCGGGGATCTGTACTTGGACCCATTCTCTTTAATGTTTTTATTAGTGAAACACGTAAAGGGAATCAACACAGTAAAGAAGGAGACTATGTTTAAAAGAAGAAAAACTACCACTACAAGAGGAAACAGTCTTAAATTAGAGGGGCAAAGGTCTAAAAATAATTTTAGGAAGTATTACTTTACTGAGAGGGTAGTGGACGCATGGCATGGCGCTCCAGCTGATGTGATAGAAGTCAACACAGTGAGAGAGTTTAAGCATACATGGGATAGTCATAAGGCTTTCCTAGCTATAAGATAAGGCCAGGGACTAATGAAAGTATTTAGAAAATTGGGCAGACTAGATGGGCCAAACGGTTCTTACCTGCCATCACATTCTATGTTTCTATGAAAAAGGAAGAGAATTGTGAACCATGAGTGCTGAATATTTAATGAAGACTTGGGCATATCCACGACAGTGAATTTAATGTCACCCAAGAATTAGCATTATAATCTGGAGTGGAATAAACTGCACTGCTGGATCATTGATGGAGAAAAGAACATGTCTGAAGCGAATTTCCCATGTGGTCAAACATTTCTTGAAGAATGCAGCCTGAGCAGTTTCCAAATTTGAAGCAATTTGCTTGCAGATTTGTATCAGTTTCTGGTACAACATACCTATGTGAACAAACATTTTTTAGATTGAAGTATGTCAAGTCCAACTATCGAGCAAATGTATCTGATAAGCACCTGATGTCCATTCTAATTGGCTCATCAAGCCTGAAACCTCATTTTGGCAATATTTTGAAATAAAAAAAAGCATTTCCATTGATATTGTTTTATAAGTTTGTGATTTGTTGTGCCAAATAAAATGTATTCATTAATTTATAAAACTGATATTGGCCCTTGAAAATTAGTAAATTATATATTGAAAAGTTTGGAGACCACTGCTCTACAATATGATGATCTTATTCATTACAACTAAATTAGTGCACAATTTCGATTCAATTTACAATATAAAGTAGTGTTTCTGATGCTTGTTCTTAACATGGTGTCATATCTAAAGTAAATTTAAAAACCACATAAGTGCGTTCATATGAAATGGCTCCATGTTTGAAATAAGGAAAATAAAAACATCCAAACTTTCAATTTGTCAACTATTTTGTTTTTCAGATAGATTCTACCCGGATGTCCGACAAAGAGCTTCAGTGCTGGAGAGCCATCATGAAAATGGGAAATCCATTAAACTCAAAGTGCTGTGATGATGATAACGTGCATGAGTGTGAAGGAGTGGAGCAGGCATCCAATTCAGCCGTAGAAAAGGTATCTTAGCTTTAACGCAATAAACATATGATAAATATTACTTAACCATTACAACAGTTTCAGTTACCATGAGAATGTAAAAGTTAAAGGACCACTATAGTGTCAGGAAAACAAACTTGTTTTCCTGACACTATATAATCCTTAGTTCCTCCCCCCCCCCACCCTCAGGGTCCCCCTCTCGCTGGGCTGAAGGGGTGTAAACACCTTCAGCTACTTACCTTTATCCAGCGCTGGGCTCCTTCGGCGCTGGTGACCTCTCCACCCCCTTCGACGTCAGCTGCCGAATGCGCATGCGCAGCGCATTTCTCAATGATTTCCTACAGACGTTCTGCGTGCTAAATGCTATTTTCGCATTGAGCGCCAGGTAAGCGCCTCTAGCGGCTGTTAGGAAGACAGCCACTAGAGGCTGGATTAACCAGCCTGGGGGTCCTGGCACCCAGATCACTTCGTTGAGCTGAAGCGGTCTGGGTGACTATAGTGGTCTTTTAACTGCACCCTATCCCAAATCACTACGCACATGTAAATCTTAGAGGTCCTTAGTGCCTCTGTAACGGTCATTAAAGAGTAAGCTCACTTGACTCATAAAAGCAAACTTCCTACGCCAACATTTTACCATGCTACCTTTAGCTAAAAGGCAAAATCTCTAAAAAGACAAACTAACCAACCATCAATAGGGCACACTCGAGGTGTGCATCAGCACTGTAACATTACTGTATAATAGAAAAGCAAATAAAACACACACAGAAATAAGACCTGTGGTCAAACTCTCTAACAATTCTCCTTGCTGTCCTCAGCTGAAAGCAGCAAAATGAATTGTTATAGCAATTATATAACTTTGTCTTGATGTGGCAAATGAGGTAGCACTTTAATGACCATGCAATGATGTTAAAAAACTCAGTTACTTAAGTGTGCATATGGTTTGTGGGTAATGCACAGGCAACTTTTTATGTTTTGGTTTTTATCTATTTGGAGCTCTGGTCGCTCCACTGATCAAAGACCTGCCAAGGGCTGGGTCATTGGCTGAGTGTGTCAGCTGAATGAGAGAGTTCACACAGGCACTCCTGGCTATGAATGATATAATGGCTGTAGTAGATTTTGGTGCATATATTGTTCCTTTAGCCATTTCAGTTCTACAGCCAAGAGAGGCAATAGATTAAACTAATTCAAGTACACAAATACTTTAAAATAAAATGTTGAGGGACTATAGCATAGACAAGCAAATCCACAATGAGCCCCCATGAAAAAGAAGAAAAATATACAATGGACCCAATATTTGGAGGTTTTATGAATGAAGAGCCTTGTGTTTAAAAAACTGTTTGCTCATATTTGGAGACTCCAGAAGCTTATGCAAGTCTGTGGATACTGGAGAACTGGAAAAAACTTTTAAGTTAAAAAAAAATAAATTCTCAAATTAGCTGGTTCCACTTGGCTGTTTGGGTCTAAAATTTTAAATTCACTTTAAATTCCAGACAATTAATATTTTAGTAGATAATGCCGTGCAAGTAACTCTGATATTTCATAAAAGTGGTACAATGATGTTTGTCTTCCATATGGTAGTGCATACAAGGTGGGGGCAATGTGTCGTGTCTGTATAAATGTGAACTTATTGGTAAAATCCATTCAAGTTAACATTGCTTTAAAAAAAAAAAAAGTTCTGTCTGGTTTTTTTTTGTGTTTTTCTGGAGATCTCAATTCACCATTTCCATAGTTCAATGCTGATAGTACTACAACAGACCAATTAGCATTACTGCTCCACATATTGGCATTATTCCTACTAAAGATCAGTAGAATCATGATAGGACTATTCCCTTACCTGTGCCTTTAGGACAATAACTTACTATGTTTGCTTCCTAAGCCACAATTTCATACATTTAGCTTTATGAACATTAGCTACGGTAAGGTCTTGGAGGGCACATGAGAGGGGCGCCAATATCGTAGCTTCCCTCAGTTGGAAAAGGTTGCTTGTTTTGAGATTTACTTCCCATAGAATTAACATGTGCTAGTGAATATTTATTTTTGCCAAGGTTGGGCAGCAATGAAAGATGTTTCCTTTCGATATTCCTTAAACCGCATCCGCAGCTTTGCAGAAACGTGCCCGGTATAGTTCCTCGTTACATACACCTTTGCAAAGTGGTTCCTCATTGCCATTATTCTATCTACTTGACTTCCATGTTGCCTCAGGTTCATCCAGCCAAGATAGCACAGATTATTGCAAAATGTTTTCCTAGAAAGATTGCACCTGGCTCACTGCCTTTGTTTGCATACACCTTAATAAATGCCAATGTCCCTCTAATTGCTTTCTTTATGATGGTGATCTTGCATGACTCCAAACAGTTCTTACAGAATATGATTATTCTTTATTCACAATGAAAAGTGTTATTGATTACCATTATTTTCAAATAATAACGCTGAATAAGAGGTAAGGAAACCTTTTGGCCTAAGAGTAAAAACAAATGAATTTCCTGTGTGCGATTGTGGTTTAGCTGTCTGTATCGTGACTTTCTTTATCTGTAGTTCAAATCCATTATTTTAGTATGTGTTCTACGGTTTGAGCATTAAGCAGTACTATGCTGCACAGAAAAAGGAATTTGATATTTGCTTACAGAGGTTATTTTCCTTTCAAATTAAACAAATATGAAGTACACACTGGGCAGACAGGTCAGTTGTGATAACCAGTTGTTGGCTCTCTGTTTCTACATTTATACATAAATGTGATTTATATAATATATTTATGTAATGAGATATAATATATATAGTTATGACAATTTCTTAATGAAATGTGTGTAAATATTAATTGTAGTTGGTGTTTGATTTTGTAGGTGGACGTGTGTATATTTGTGTGTGCAATATAGGAATGTGTGTGAACGTGTGGAGACAAAGGATACACTATATAATACTGACCCCCAGTTAGCCAGCACAGGATCTAGGTTTCTGGTTATAATAAATATGATTTAAAATATTTACTACAAATGAATCATCCCTTTGCATATTAAGTACATTTTTAAAAAATGTTTTTCTTTAAGGTAATACAAGCTGTGGAACCCGAAAGACGAATTCACGCAGGCAGTGGTAAGTCAAATGTAAATCTTATTAAAGCTCTATTTGACGTATGCAGATTTAGTGTTTATTTTCTGTTTCATTATTATTTCTCAGATGTGAAGGACATATTACACACACTAAAGAACATCAATCGTCGTAAAGGGCACGAAGTTGCACATCTTACCATTCATAACATCACATGTAAGTTCAAGTTAAACACTGTTTTTATTTATTTATTCTAATTTTCTTTGCACTGACTATATATCAAAGTTGGACTGATAATGTGGAAGTTTGCAGCAGCGGGGCTTGGATTTAGGTACTTGGAGAGTAGCAGAGGGGCTTTGTTTTAGGTATTGGGAGAGCAGCAGAGGGGCCCGGATTTAGGTACTGGGGAGCAGCAGAGGGGCCTGGATATAGGTGTTGGGAGAGCAGCAGAGCGGCCTGGTTTTAGGTGTTGGGAGAGCAGCAGAAGGGCCGGGATTTAGGTATTAGGAGAGCAGCAGAAGAGGCCTGGTTTTAGGTACTGGGAGAACAGCAGAGGGGCATGGTTTTAGGTACTGGGGAGCAGCAGAGGGGCCTGGATATAGGTGTTGGGAAAGCAGCAGAGCGGCCTGGCTTTAGGTGTTGGGAGAGCAGCAGAAGGGCCGGGATTTGGTATTGGGAGAGCAGCAGAGGGGCCTGGTTTTAGGTACCGGAGAGCAGCAGAGGGGGCCTGGATTTAGGTACTGGGAGAACAGCAGGGGGGCCTTGTTCTTTCTCTTTTTCTTCAGTCTTTTTCACTCTTGAAGGAACATTATGGTGTCAGGAATACATATACAATCCAAAATTACTGTAAACAGTTTTCCGGCTCCCCTCAGATTGATGTGATAAGTTGTTTAAACATACTATTTCTCCCTCCCCGCATCGTTCTAGCCACATATGGCCCTGCCTGAGCCCACCTCCATGGCTGAGATCTTCAATCTTGATCATCAAAGCTACTTCGAAGCTTTCCCATTAGAAAGCATTGGGAGGCTACTGCGCTTGTGCAGCTAAATTCTGCGCCAATCAGCAATTCCTCGTAGAGATGCATTGAATCAATGCATCTCTATGGGGAACGTTCAACATGCAGAGCTGTGCAGCATTGAGATAGGAAGCACCTCTAGTGGCTGTCAGTGTGACTTCCACTAGAGGTGTTACTAGCCAGCAATGTAAACACTGCCTTTTCTCTGAAAAGGCAGCGTTTACAGTGCTCAGCCAGCCGGAACATGCTATAAACTCCAGGACCACGACATTAATCTGCAGTGGTTCTGGTGACTATAGTGTGCCTTTAACCGCTATCCCATTTGAGCCTTTTAATTTTCCCTGTCTGTCAGAACTTTCTCTTTATTACTGCATCTTAGCTCCTTTGACTTTTCTTCTTTATTGCCATTTTAATCTTTGCTGCCTTACATTTTGGCTTTGTCCCCTACATTTTTGCTGCCTTACATTTTGGCTTTATCACTGTCTCACTGATCAGTTATCTGCCTTCTTTTTACATGTCTGTCTGTTTAACTCCTCCTATTTTGTATTGCAATGTGAAAAAATAATTTAACAAAAGTGGTGACATTAAACATCATATACCATGAAGTTCTGTGAGTTGGGCTCATTTTTGGTGCCTAGAGTATAGTTCTTGCTTGCACTCACTTACTGTGTGAGCGGCCTTTAAGATACTATACATTGTATATGATGTGATGTCCTGTCCAAAGAATGATTAAAATCCTACAGGGCCCTATGCAGGTTATTGTTTTGGGCAATACTTTTATTCTTTACATGGATGTGGAGATGCTGAATTACAGGGCCCCTGTCTAATCTATGGTCCCTAGGCAACTGCCCAAGTTCACCTAAGTACTCCATTCTAAGGGCCATGCATGCTCCTGAGGCCTTACTCACAAAACAGGAGGCTTTATCACACCTGAGATCCTGAAACCCATGAGCCCATTGTCTGCCTGGTGGCTCACATGCATGCATTATTATGGCTATCACTGACAACCTGAAAAGATCCACCAATTTTTTTTGAGGAAATGCCCTTTTTCTCCTTTCCCATCTGCCAGTGTTTTAATAGCATTGTAGTAATTAAATATACGGGGAAGCAGAATTGTATCCACAGATGTTATCTTCAGACTAATATGGCCAAATTCCTCACACGCCTCATCTCCTCTTTATATTTTAATGATTCAGACTTGCAATTTAGACCACTTGAGCAATCATATTTGACCACCCAGTCATAGGGTCCATGAGTGCACTTTGTACATTACTCGGCTAAAATTATTATATGATTTTAACCAAACCGTAGGATGTTGTGCCAGAGATGGATGGGTTCTTTTTTTGTAGTCATGTGTAAATATATAATTTTTGCATTCTGGGTTGCAGTTTCATTCCTAAATAAATACTGACCTCACAACCAACTACTTGTCTAATCTCCATGCTCAACCATTTCTCATCCTTTTTCCACATTTTCTTTATTTATTCTTTAGCAAAGAGATTGCCAAATAAAACTTCCTTACAGAAATCCTCTTCCGATGTATAAAAAACAAACACTTTTAGTTCATTTTTGTTTTATATTGTAAGACATTAAGGACAGTTCTGGGGTTTCCTCTTTCTCAATTAGTCCATCTACTCATGTTCCATATTATAACATTTTATTTTAAATTCTGGATGTACGGTCGGGGCATAACAATACTTTTTTACATAGACTGCTGGTCCCCACAATTTTGGGTATAAATTATTACAGTATAATTTAGTAATGCATACGATTAGATGTTAGCAAATATGTTTGAAAAACCTGAAGTGTAAAATAACTGGCTATATGTGCATTTGTAAGCAATCTGCTGGCATATTTGGGAAGGTAAATTTCCAACATGCCAGCAGAATATAAGCATTGTGAGTGCAATTATGGCATAAAGCAAATGTGACATTGCAGGCACATATTGCAGCTAGTCTTTATTTGATCCAAGCTTACTCTACTATGTGAGAGGGGGGGGTCACATAATTTGAAGTCCTTTTGCATGCAGAAAAAGATCCAAGAGAAATAATCCTAGCTGACCTGGAGAAATTTGTCACTTTAATCACAGTACTGCCCAGAATAATTGTAGTGCAGCTAAATAGATACTTATCCTTTACTCTCGGAGTGCTCCATTTACCTCCGAGTTTATTTTGTTTTCTGATGGCTCGTAGGTCATATTTTGTTTTCAGAGTTTGTACGTTCAAGTTTACCACAAGCAGGCATGGAGCCCAAAAACACCACAAAAATGTATATATTTTTTTTTGAATGTTTACATTTCTGTTTTGTTCAGTGGTAAGCACATGCGGTAATCCATAACTCTTTAGAGTATTTTCTAATCAAGGATCTGAACATAGTCTGTGGTTCAACAAGTAATTCCTGGACCCAAGTATGATCATCCTGAATCAAAGCTTCCAGCCTTTGTGCAAGCCCTACCATTTGTAAACATTAAATGCTTGAAACGGCCATGTGACTCATCTTTGTAAATAACGGTCATGTGACGTATCCTTTGTTGCTTCTGCAACATTATTCTTTCTATCTTCTCCTATGATAATTATGTTGGAGAGGCAGTGTCTTCACTGTCCCAGCATTTTGATCTTTCCAGAAAATATGGTGTACCTCTAGCACTGACCTTTCACATATATTCTTTAAATGAAATATACATTCACTTTGGCTACCATGGCCGTACATTTTAAATTCATTTTGAATTCTCACCATGAAAGTATCCTTCAATTGACTTATTTTCCGAACGTCATTTTTGTTTGATGTTTGGAAAGTGTAATGATAAAAATATATATAATAATAATTTTTATTTCCTGTTGCTGGATGGCAAATATTTTCCAATGTTGAGCTGTATGAAAATGACAAATTCCTCTGTGGACAAAGGGCAGGAAACATTTCACAGGAAATATTTTAGCAATGTGAAACCATTTCAATGATATTTAATCACCAAAAAGATGTGGTTTCTAATACAGAAATTATAATGAAATAGTAACACTGCCTTAACGATACTAATACAGTATTATCTTCTTACTTTTTAAGATGGAGTCTCCAAAGTTAACCTTACGTCCTGGAAAGTCAAAGAAGGCTGGGCAAATCTACAAAATATGAGCTACAATAATGGAAAACTAAGAGTTTTACGAGATGGATTCTACTTTGTTTATGCAAATATTTGCTTCAGACATCACAAAAGTTCATCGAATTTTGTAGAAACCGTACGGGGCAAGCCTCTGCAACTAATGTTGTATATATGCAAAATAAGCAAAAACGGGAGAGATTTACATACGCTTATGAAAGGAGGCAAGACAGAGGTTTGGACAAATGATACAGATTATCATTTTTATTCCATTTATCAAGGAGGTGTATTTAGACTACAGGCCGATGAGGAAATCCTTATACAGTCATCTTATACACAATTACTAGACCCAACACAAGAAGCAACATACTTTGGTGCCTTTAAGATATATGATTGAAAACATCTTGGATGGATTGTTATATTGATTTGTGTTTTGACCAACTGAAATGTTTTAACCTGATAAGAATTATGTTTTTTGACATTGCTTTTACAATATGTAAGAGTGCATATTATTGGAAGTAGTGAAAATGTTTGTGCCTTAAGAAAATCATGGGGGGGAAAATGGTACTTATTTTAATAATAACCAGCATTGTCAAGGATTGGTTCATTTGTCTTACCCACTTAGTGACAGCTGATACTTTTACCGTAATCACATTACGGTCCTACAGATCTGGTGCGCTAGCATAGAATGTCCTGCTTATTTGCATCTGCAATTCAAGACAACATTATTGTAAAACAAAAATATGGGGGGGTTCTATTTGAGAACAAAATCTTTGCTGACTAGCTCTACATACAGATTTCAGTGGAGGTGTAGTAAGCAGAGTAAACCTTTATTCTGGTAAAATAATTTAGCCTAAACAGTCATTGTTCATTTACCTTTATTCTGGTAAGATAATTTAGCCTAAACAGTCATTGTTCATTTAGAAGTTAAGAATCTTAATCTGATGGGTTGGACAAATTACTGCCCAAAATTCTCAATCTTTTCAGTTTGTTTTGGCTTAAAATTAGAAATTTTCTTTGGATGCTGAATCCCCTGTGGGATTTATTCACTAAACTATGAGTTGTAGTGACACGAAAAACTCAATTGTAGAATGAACGCAAAAATAACTGATTAAAAACATATCCAAGTAGTCTATAGTCAGAGCCTGGCTTTATTAGCCTAAATTTGGATTTTAATCATTCAACTGTAAGATGATATCCAAATGTAGGTCTAAATAGCTGAGAAAAATTCCCAGCTTAGTTGAGTTAAGTATTTTCCCAACACTGCTCTATTTTGCATCAATTATGAAACTCACTGAGTTATGAATAAAATGAGGAATTGACCACGGATTTGAGAATTCTTCCAGTTTGGACATTTCCACCCAATTTTTCTGAATTCTCATCATTACCCCATTACGTTAATAATCATTCTTTTTCAATAAGCACAACTGATTAAGAATAAATCCCTACATATAGCATGACTGATTCTCCTCAGAAATCCATAACTGGATATTTTATAAAAATGGTGCCAATAGTCACAATGGAGTGTATTTAATAAACTGTGAAAAAATGACAATGCAATTACATGTTTTAGGCCCGAATATTTGAGTCGGAAAATAGCTGTGTTAAAGAATTTTTGAAAATCTGGCTGTTTTGATCTTTGAATTTGTGGTACCTTTATAACTTCTAGTTAAGTGAATAATTTCAAATAGTGTCAAACATAAGAGAAAAGGTAAAACAAAAAAAATGCTAGCAGAACTAGTAAATCATAATTTTTTTTGCATATTTCACTTAAATTTCAAAATATGTCTTACTATTGCCACTTTTTAATATTATCACTATAATCATATACTGTGTGACCAATGTGTTGGGTTACTAAGGTGGTAACATTACTGTATTTAAAATTTGGTTTGTTTTGTCTGTAGTATGTGTTAAATGCACAGGAATTTTAGTTTTTCCTGCATAATATTTATAATATATTGTACAGTAACTAATTTTAAAGGGCATTCCAATGAAACTGAAGTTGGCGCCCCTTGAAAACCTAGCATTTGAGGGTTATTGCAAATGAGGCCCTTTTTAATGCAGTTATTCACTTAAAGGGGCACCTTAGTATCAGGAATACTAACATGTATTCCTGATACTATAGTGCTGGTGTGGCTGTCTAGGTCACTGCTCCCCCCATCAAAGCAGTGAAAAGGTGAGTTTACATTTTTTCCCATGCTGCCCAAGTCTCGCCGCGGCTTGCCCGGCTTTGCTCCGCCTCCGTGACTGAGATCATCAGTCTTGATGATTTCTGCCAATCCAATGCTTTCTGATACAAAAGCATTTGGAGGCTATTGCGCATGTGCAGCAAAACACTGTACCAATCAGCATCTCCTTATAGAGATGCCTTGAATCAGTGTATCTGTTTGGGGAACATTCAGCACCTCCATGCAGAGCGTGGAGCCACTGAATGCCCATATTGCACACTTCCTTTTCCCTGAACATTGAAAAGCCCGCAGGGACAAGCTATACACAACAGAACTACATTGTTCTGGTGACTATAGTGTCCATTTGAATGGGAATTCTGGAGAGTTGACCAAGGAAATAAAATAGACGAACTGGTAATTCTTCAATTCGGTTTTATTTCCACTGTGACTATTTTGGCCTAACATTTGCAGTTCTCTTGTCAGTTCTCCAGTTAGTGAATAATTTAAATAACATATGATTTTCACACCTTCTTTAATGGCGGTGTATTTTGTATGGTAACAGGTTATGTAGTGGGGGCAGGTTCCCCATTTTGACTGCTTCTGTATCCTACTTGTCTTAATAAGAAACAAAACCGAATATTTTTGTATTCATAGTTTAGCAAAAATAAGAGAATACTTCAAACTGGATTTGTCTGTCTTCTCTTTTTTTACAAGCCTTCTGCCAAAGACGCTCACCTTAAATTTCTGTAAATTTCTTATAATCGACAGTTTCTATCAGAACCATGAAGTAGCTGAATTTTGTCAGACAGTACTTGTCATCTCATTGTTATATTTGTAAAAGCTGACTATACCCCATAAGCCCTGCCATGCAATGTAAGAGCAGCTAGGATTTTTCCTTCTTTTCAATAAGTGAATGGAACCACACAAAAAAAAACAATAGAATCTGTGGACCATTAGTTTATTATCAGACGAACATTGTAGAGCTGCAAAAATTCTTAAACTCAAAAAAAGACAAATTCTAGACTTTTAACTGTAAAATAAATTATTATAATTTGTTTTAAATTGTGGCATAAACTTTGCAATTAGATTTTATTTGCCCTACCATTGTCTTTATAGATGGCACAACCTAGAGGTTCCTTTAACAGTGGTACCCAAACTAGTCCTCACAGTCCAACAACAGTCCAGGATTTATATGGTTTGCTTTTCTATTAGAATGGAGATACTAATATAACAAGGATTGTTGCTGGGTCAAGAGGACTGTTTTGGGAACCACTACTTTAGTATATTAGATATATTCAAATTCCATGACTTGCTTATGCTTTTACTCAGCATTGTGAATCATATTTTTTTTTTCAAGACTGTAAAAAAAATATTTCACGATTTATTTTTGATTTTTTTTTTTTTTTTTAAACACATAACCGTACTGAATATAATTAAAGGAACACATCTGGTACCAAGGGTGCAGGATTGCCTTTGATAGATTATCATGGAAAAATCATTTCAATTTTATTTGCACATTGTCAGAAGTACGATTCTTACATCAGCTGATACAATCACTTGGGCCATAGCTCCACACATTCATTCATAAAAGATATGTATACAATAAGTACTCACCCTTTATGATTTGAAGCCCCTGTGTGAGTGCATATTATATATAAATATATACACAATAATTGTATTTTGTTGTTGAATGTGACGTGACAAATGGGTCCACGATTGCATGTGTACATGCTACTGTGTGTATATCATTAATGATTTTGTTATATGAGAAGCATGCAGTTCCCTGACAAAGTATGAAAAGGGAACTGGGATTGGCAGAGTGATTTCAGCCATTTCCTGTTTGAACAACTTATCAGCACATGAGCAGGAGATCCTGTGTTGTCCGAGACGAGTATTATTTTTAGCAATGCTACTAAAAGGGGATGTTGAATCCAACATAGGGTGTCCCTTTAAGATGCACTATAATATCAGTATTGTAGTTCTTAAATATCCCATATAATTGTAATTTCATTCCTTGAGGTTTGTTTGTTTGTTTTTTGTATTCAAAATGTTTTCAGTTTTTTTTTAACATAAACGTAAACAATAAAACGTAATTTTTTCATATCTTCCTTTTCTTATGGAACATACGTTTGCATACTTCATGTTAAAAATATATTTGTAATACCATATGTATATTCTGGTTTTTGTAGTTGTTTTGTTTTCTATGTACAGTTATTTAACTTGTGCACTTTGTACATAACTTTTTGTATCTGCGGCCAAAACTATTATTTACTATTAAATTTAATATATTTCTTGAACATGTCTTTTGTTGATTTCTTAAATCAAACATCCCTGGATGATGCAAAATAAAATCAATATGTTCAATGTACTTATACTCCTATTTTCCATTGATGACGTTATTGTTTGTGCTACTCAAAGCAAGGTGTCTTTGAGATTTTGTTTTTAAAGTGGCAAATCATTACGAGGCAGCATAACTAGACAGAAAAGTGCTCATTAATACATACGAGAAGAGTAACTGAAAAATGACTAAGTCAATTTCAGTTTCAAAAACTAGCAAAACGTTTCTTGTGTAGAGGAATAACTGTGTATTTGTTAGAATTCAGCAGAAACCCTCTCAGAGCTGCAGATTTGCCTGCAATAGCACAAAACATTGGGGACTTCTGAAACACCTGCTTTATTATTTTGACTGATATTTAAAGAGGAATTATTACTATATTTATAAATATGCATTTTGGGAGGTGTGTAAAGTAAAATGAAATGTAGAAATTCACATCTTTTTATCCTGCATCTGGGCACTTCCATCTGAGCTCTCTGTTCTTTGCTATAAGCCCTGTCCTCGGGACCTGCCAGTCAACACAAATAAAGCATACAGAGATGGGGAGCGAAAAATATTTCTATTTCCAATCTGCGTTTGCAATATTTGCCATGGCTTTGGTTGGTCTGAAAGGGATTATGATGTAATTTGATAAATCTAATATAAGCTAGGGGATGTCTGGGCCTTTTAGGTAGCACATCACCTTTCTTCACAGTTCCCACTGCACGGTGCTCAGGGAAAATAAAGCAAACTCAAAACAAGACCAGGATTGGTGTAATATCCTTGGTACAAAATGTAAATTGCACACAAAAATAAAGAACAGTAGCTGACATTGGAAGGAGCTTAAAATTCGCCCATCTTAAGGTTAATAACATGTGGTGCCAGGATGGGCCAGGTGGCAATGCTGCTACAGAAATCCAAACCCAGGTAATATTTCACAAACAAAACCAGCTACTGGTTAAGCTCTAGAAGATGTGTTTCACCAGGAGCCTTCTTCAATCAGCATAATATAACTCCTGGTCAATGCTTCATTTAAACCATCCTTTTTCCTGTGTCCGTTCGAGTGACTCTGGAGCAACCTTAGTTTGACACTCCAGCGATACATTCGCTTTTTGATCCTAAGGCATCCTCTTCACTGGTCTTTGTTGTTTTAATTTGTCAGGATTAAATAAATGGTCACCTTGCAGATCTATTAAATCATCCATGATCGTATTGAATTTAACATTAGTTCCAATAATTTGTTTACCCCTTAACAAACTACAGTAAGGTTCCCTAAAAGACTTGTCTGAAATCTCCCAATTAGAACCTATACAGACTGCATTTATTCATACATGCTTTTTGCTCTTTTCTATTTATTCTCTAAATCTACCTGTGAAAATGTCAGAGTATGTATTGCACGGTAAACTCTCACTTCAAATCTGAAAACCTGTCTTATTTAGTTGTTTTGAAGATATGATGGATAGAATATTTAGACTTGGTCACATTCTTCTTAGATTTGCCACAGAAAAAAAATTAATTCACTGGTATTGTCTGAAAAGTAATTGTACACCACATTTTTTTTTAATCATCATGAGTTTTAGCGCTTTGGAGGTCCTTCATAACAGGCACAATTTACATTTAGCTTGTAACAGGGAAGTATTGCCATAAAACCCATCACAGAAAATTTAGCCATTGTATTTTATTGTTACATGCTCCAATAAATGACTATATTTCAACCAAAATGAGGTTCACTTTCATCCAATGAAATCCTAAAAAATCTGTATTCTGAACTCAAATAATTTTTTTGTGAAATCAAAACTACAAAAAAACCTGTTGGCCCAAAAAGTTAAATGGTGGTCTCAGTTTCTAAATGACACTGCGCATGTATGCATCTTCCGATAGATAGCCACCAAGAGACTGGCAGCTTTAGAGATAGGAGAAAATAAATTAAGAAAATTACTACTTACAGAAACAAAAATAGTGTCATATTTAATCCAGTGTTAGAACAAACTGGAGGACAAGAACATACATGGGTAAAAAAGCTAATTGTGGTAGAATGATCAAATTATGATAGAAAATCAAAGAGAAAGCACTAAATCACAACATACTTTATTATACAATGCTTTAAGTAAATCGAGATGAAATTTAAATATAAAATACAAATTTAAATAGCTAACAAATATTAATAAATAGTAGAGAGGAGGGAAAACAACAGTGAGAATGCTTAAAGGACCACTATAGTGCCAGGAAAACATGCTCGTTTTCTTGGCACTATAGTGCCCTGAGGGTGCCCCCACCCTCAGGGTCCCCCTCCCGCCCGGCTCTGGGGAGAGGAAGGGGTTAAACACTTACCTTTCTCCAGCGCCGGGCGGGAAGCTGTACTCCTCCTCTCCTCCTTGTCGCGACGTCATCGGCTGAATGCGCATGCGCGGCAGGAGCCGCGCGCGCATTCAGCCGGTCGCATAGGAAAGCATTTACAATGCTTTCCTATGGACGCTTGCGTGCTCTCACTGTGATTTTCACAGTGAGAAGCACGCAAGCGCCTCTAGCGGCTGTCAATGAGACAGCCACTAGAGGCTCTGGAGGCTGAATTAACCCTCAGTATAAACATAGCAGTTTCTCTGAAACTGCTATGTTTATAAAAAAAAAAAGGGTTAATCCTAGAGGTACCTGGCACCCAGACCACTTCATAAAGCTGAAGTGGTCTGGGTGCCTAGAGTGGTCCTTTAACTTTGAGAGAGCAGCAAAGAAAAGTAATGCTGGAATCGGGGACTGTGTTACTTAGATTAAAATATTGTAATGCGATTTTAGTTTCATTTGTACGTCTAAAGTGTTTTAGAGAATTTTTCTTTGGTGCCAAAATAAATTTAAAAAAATTAATTACAAGGAGTCTTCACGTCTTGTAATAAAATTTGATTCTATAAAATATTCTTTCTACTATTTTGACATTTATTAGCCTTATTTTATTAGAGCTATGGCACAGTAGAATGTCGAGTATCATTTTTGAACCTCTCCAAGTAGCTCATTCATAGTTTTCTATTAAGGAGGGCAGCTATTATTATAGATCCATTCACAAACTCACAAATATAGCTGTTGGAAAGCTGATAGCACATGCATCAAAGTTTCATTCACATTTTTTACTAAATTGACTACCTTCTCACTGCTGAACTGCATACCGGGGGTAGGCAACCTTCGTCACTTCAGATGTTTCGGACTTCATCTCTCTTACAGCCATAATGCTGATAAAGCATCAGAGGAGATGTTCTTTACAACATCCAGAGTTCCGAAAGTTGCTGATCCCTGGATCGACTTTAAAGGGACACTATATGAACCAAGATCACTTAGTTGAGATACAGTAATCTGGGTGCCCTATGCGCCTGTCATTTTTGCTCTTTCTGCAGGAACAGCAATGTTTACAGTGCAGGGCTAGCATGCATTTAGTGGCTGTCACACTGACAGACAGTAGAGATGCCTCGCCTAAATAGCCATGTTAAACTCGCCTGTTTTAATAAGATGGCCTCATAACGTTTTCTAATGGCAGGGGGCAGCCATGTGAAGAGCTCAGCTACCTTTTTACATCACACGTGAGGGCGGTAACTTGAATAGCAAGTAGGTTACTATAGCATTAGGAATAAATGTGTGTATTCCAAACACTATAGTGTTCTTTTAAGCCCCTGGTAGGTGAGGGTTTATACTCATACATGGGATATACTCAGCATCCTAATGATAATCATGGGCTGTTAGGCTGAGAATTGTGTGAATGTAAATAGAACTCACTACAGGAATAAAACTGAAGTATGTCAAAGATGAGTGTCTTATTTATTTTTCATATTTTACATTTCGCTTGCTTATATTTTAATCTGTAACTTTATCGTTAATTAAAAATGAAGGTCTGTCCTATCCAGAGTGCCTCTTGAATGTAGCATTTATTTATTTATTTTTTATTCAAAAAGTTTTTATTTTGATTTAAATTCGCGTAACAATCCAGTTTGAAGAAGGATACAGCAGGTAAAAGGTACATGGGCATCTTAATATAACATGGTAACAATTAGTTTACAGAGCAGGTAATGGTTTAGGCATAAAAAATATAAAATATGTACGTGGGTATGCCAGTGCCGTGGGGTTTGATAACTCACTGAGTTGATCCCATCGTCATGGCAAGTGAAGATCGGGCCATATGCATATAATGGACAGAATTTTTAGAAACAGTTGCGTGTTTTGAATCATTCAACATTTGTGGTATGGTGTGGGTAGTTTTGCGGTAAGTTACAGAGTTATGAGTTCTAGTGGGGGATGTGATTCGGTGTTTATCTTGGGGGTGGATTAGGTATACCTAACAGGTTGTACTGCTCATATTGCTTTAGTATGTGGGGTTTCATCGGTTAGATGGGTATGCATGTGGAGGTCTCATTTAGTGGGGATATGCCCTGGGTTGCGTTGGTGAGGTCCAGTGGGGTGGGTCTTTTGTTGGGACTTCGGGCATGGAGCTCGGAGCCGGTCCGTTAGTGTTATGAACGGGGGTGGGGTGGGATTTGTGGGCAGCATTGGTTTGTGTGTGTTGCTGCGCTCAGAGCCGTCTGGTAGCTGGGGGAGAAAGCTGGGGGTTTCTGGCCCGGTAGTTGTCGTGTTGTGTGTAGCGTGAGTGTTGTCTCTGGCATGCTGTCTTGTGTATGTCTCTGTCGTGTGTCATGGTCCTGTCCCGTTAGGACACACAAGGGTACGGTGCGTGTCGTTCGATCTGTGTTTGGGGGGGAGGAGTGAGGGGTGAGCGTTGTCTTGTGTCATGATTATTCATCTCTGTGTTGTTTTGTCTCTGAAGGGTTGTAGGTG